TGTTTGTTCTTTACTTGTCTGAAAGACTCTTGGAACTTTGTACAGAACACTCTGCTCCCATCCTCGAATTTCTCTCTAAGAAATTCGTGAATGGTAAACGACTCATTGTGCGTTCATGAGGCTAGCCTGAATGTCTGATAACTTAAGTAAAATTAAGTTTCTGTATAACCTTAACGAGATTTTTCATGATGCCTTTTACAGCACAAATTATCTAGTGACCTCAGGGCTGTTCAACAGTGTCTAGGTGTCTATTGTCCATGTCTTAGAAGAAGAGTATGTGCTTTTTCTACTAGAAAAATAATGGTCTTTCAAATTATGATAAGAATGAAGTAGTACTGCTTTGAAATTGTGGGAACCTGAGATAGCCTACATCTAATATAACGTGCTGTCTCCCTATGACATCTGGAGAAAGGTAGCCCACAAGCTTGCAAGACAACCCACTTCATTATTGTAATTATTATTATTATTTACATTATTACACCAATGATTTGTATTCAGACATTAATTTTTTACAAAAGCTTAACTATAAAGTTTCTTTGCTCATTTAAGAATATTTTCTTTTGCATTCCCTTGCTTACATGCTGTAACTGTTAATTTAATGGTAAGGTATAGTAATGTTTGCTATTAGCCCTATGATTATTACAGCAGTATTATCTAAGTCACTATTATAATCAGTAAAGGACACAGACTTCTGATAGATTTTATAGTTGCCTTATAACATCTTAGACTGGGCAGATATTGCATCTACACTATCTCCTATCTTCCCGCCTCCATCCCAGGCCACTTGTTTTAACCATTCCTCTCTGGCCTACCTTCCATCAATAATCCCAAGATGTTTGTTTGTATTCTTCTGGGTGGTTCCTTCTTTATGACATTCTCAGAGTCCTTCCTCCACATGGTTCCTTTTTCATGCTAACCCATTGTGGCTTCTTCCTTCTTCCTCTTCTCCCTGTGCTTTCTCCTTCCCATGATCCTCTCTGTCCTAAGCCAGAGAGCCTTAGCCATACCTACCCCATTCATTCTGCCCAGGTGTGTTGGCTTTTTACTGGTCAAACACAAATAAGTTTGTAGGCAGGGTTACAAACATCCTTTGGGGAAATGTGAGTGTCTGCTCCTACTTAGCATCAGAATATGTAGCGCTAGACCAATCCTCAACAACACGTGTTTCCTTCCATCTTTTATATATGACCTTTTTAAGAATTTTCTAAGTCTTTAGGTCTTCTAGCTGGTGAGTTTTTCCCCAAATGGGAGAAGATGCTTTGCATTAGAATTTTGGTGTTTCTTGATTGGTTGTTGGTGGATGGGTGATGAGTTGGTTGTTGGATGATGATTAGATGTTGTTTTATTGGTAGTAGGATGTTTTTGGTTCTTGGTGGGGTTTTGTTTTGTTTTGTTTTGTTTTGTTTTGTTTGTTTTGTTTGAGACTGGATCTCATTGTGTGGCTCAAGTTGGCCTCAAAGTCCCTATGTAGCCGATGCTGGCTTTGAACTCATAACCCTCCTACCCCAGCATTCTAACTTCTAGGATTACAGGCATATGGCACCATGTTGAGCCCAAACTTCACTTTTAAAACATTCCTTTCCTGTAAAGTCATATTTTCTTCAAATATGTCACTAATATAACACCTAAGTTTTCTTTGGCCAGTTTTGAAACTTTCCTGAAGTCTCATCTGCCTCTCATAGGATGTGCTTTTATTTTCATGAGCTCTAGGTGAAATTATCTCATCCCTTATGGAGTTCTCATGATTCATATAGAAAGCCATCCCAGGAGTATTGAGTACCCTCTGACCTCCATAGACACCCCCACATATGTGTATACATACATGCACACACATATACACATACATTTTAAATCTGTGTAATAGATAAGGGAATATGTTGAATTTTTATAAGTAAAAGTATAATAAGATGTGACGCTTCTTGAAAAGAAGAATCATATCTCATCTATGTGCATATTTCCTAGATGCCTTCCTACGGTGTCTTCCTTACAATAGTTGATACATAAAAAGTCCTTGTTGAATGCATGGAAGAACCATTGAATCACATGATTTAGTATCCCAGGAAGACAAACTGTAACAAGCCCCTTCTAGAAGAGAACTTAGCAGATTTACTAAGAATCAGTAGAAGAGAAGAGAATTGAGAGCTTCGCTTAGGAATTTGTAGGACAAGGTGAAATGAGTGTTACATATTTCTGTTCTTTAATAATTTTAGCACGTAATAATTGAGTACAATTTTTGTAATAGGATCTACTAGTAAGAAAGATGGAGGAAGCAAACACCCTCTTTGGAGAGACAATGTTTAACTCACTACAATTCCCTATTGACAGTGTTTCGCTCAGCTGCTAAACTACGCTGTGTTGTGATTCTGCATATTTTACATATTTCATCTTTGAAAGATTTTTACACAGAGATAGGAACATCCAAGTGCTGTGGTTTATGAGCATATGATCTTAATTGAACATACTCAGTGCGTGGAAGGAATTTGTAGAATTCTATTAGATTTTCCCCTTGATATTTGTCTTTTAGCATGCCATTACATGGTAGCCTAATCATTTCCAATTGAAGGTTATGTGGAAAATCCTCAACTGGACAGTCAAATGAATTAGGAAACACAGAACCTCCTCCCATCTATATGCCTAAAGTATGTACCTGAAACCCCGCTCAGAAAATCTGACAGAGACCTCATTTTCACTTTAATTTTTGACAGTGTTGCTTGTGATTGGTTTTGAAGTTGCCACAGTATGTGTTTCACAAAATGTTATTTTGAGTTTCATTAACTAATACGCACTGTAAGGTCTACAGCAAAATGTAATTGCTTTTTGTTTGTTTGGTTTTGGTTTGGTTTGGCTTTTTTGAGACAGGGTCTTAAGTACCCCAAGGCTACCCTCAAAGTCCACTTTATATCAAGGATGACCTTAAACTCCCAGTCTTCCCTACCTCCTGAGTCCTGGGATCACAGCTGCAGACCATGGAACATTGTGTATGTATGCTGGGAATTGGACCTTAGGGCCCCATGCATGCCAGGCAAACAATTCACTCAGTGAGCTGCCTCCTATGCAAGTTCTTTCTTTATATGGCTTTCTTTCTTTGGGGAAGATTTCAGACATATATACAATGTATGTATTGTCATCTTGTACTGAGGGATGTTTCTCTCATTTAGGAAAGTTTTCATCTGTGTCTCAAAATACTTCCACAAAGCTATACATATCCCACACGAACGTTGTATAATTGGACAAGTCAAGATATCCTATCCCTGATTTTTTATTGAAAGCTTTATAGAGATAGGCTAGGGACAGATGGAAGGGGAAAAGGAACTCCCCTATTAGTGGACTGGTGGAGACGCATGGGAGGAGATGAGGAATGGAGGGTGGGATTGGGAGGGAATGAGGGAAGGGGCTGCAGCTGGGATACAAAGTGAATAAATTGTAATTAATATAAAAAATAAAAATTAAAAAAGAAGCTTTATAGAACCAAACAAGATTAAATCCACAAAAGCCAAAAAAGTTTACTATTAACACACAGGTTAGATAATCTATATATTAAACTCAAATATTTTCCTCAGATTACCTAATGGCAAATAATGCAATAAATATCTATAGATTTAAACATCAGACTTTTCTCAAGCTCTGAAGTCTGTCCAGTAGCTCTTTTCCCAATTACTGCTGCCAGTTTTCTTGCCTCTTAGAAGATTCTACTTCAGGTTGTTCTAAGCTGTTTCTTCTTAACTTCTTGACCATAGTCTTTTCTTGAGTCACCCACAGCTGATTCGTTCAGATTTACTCTTCCATCACTTCAAACTCAGCACTGACTCCTCAAACAAATGGGCAATTGGCTGGCAATTGACAATTTTATTTTATTTCAGCCTTCTTTAGAAAGGTGTGTGTGTGTGTGTGTGTGTGTGTGTGTGTGTGTGTGTGTGTGAATTCTGCTATGATAACACACTCTTTTTTAAAATTTTCTGATTTCCTATCTGCTGCATTCATGTAAAGTTGAAATATGTCCTTGTTCTGATATTTCTGGAGTGTATTACATGTAGTTTTAGTTATAAATGTGGTTTCAGTACATAACATATAACAAACATGAGAGTTTGTTATTTAATTTGACAAAAAAACACACTTTTTCTGCCTATAAATTATGACATTCAAAGTCCACCTTTCATATTTTGATGTGGTAGATATGTCCCAGCAATAAAATACTTGAAATAAAAAGTCACAGGAAGACCGTGCTATTTGAAACCCAGCCTCATTCCAATCTGCTTTTCAGCAAACACAAGTGCCCACCTCTCTGCCATGGTAACTCAGCTCTGCTGTGGTACAAGAGAACCCAAAGTCAATACATTAAGGAATGAGGGTGTCTGTGTCCCAATAAAACTTTATTCATATTTACTGAAATTTTAATCTCATATACTCTTCACATTTTAAATTACTATGATTTTGATTTTCCCATAATTAAATGTAAAAACTGCTCATGTTATAATCTATACAAGAACAGCTGAGTGCTTGCATTTGGCTTGCAAGTCAGAATCAAGGCCAACCTTGATTCAAGACTTGGTTTCAGACTTAATATTTGCTTGTTCGTCTTTATTTTCAAACTATTTTTACCGGATTTTCCCATAGTCGTATAGTTGAGAAACAGAAAATTCTTTGTGAGGAGATGTTCTTCTGTAAGAGTTGCTTTGCAAAGCAGAGTACACACTCTCTAGTTAGAACAGAGCAATGTATAATGTACACCGTGCTTGTAAAAATCGAAAGGAACTTGGTATTCCTTTAGTCTTTATTTTAAAAACCCAAGATCTTATTAACTATAATTAGATATTCACGTGAGTGGCAAGGCTTCCAAACTATCCCCTAGTTGTTTCACTCTTGCAAAAAAGTGTAACTCACAAACCTGGGCATTGTGTCACCAGCAGCCTCTGCAAACACATTCTTTTCTATATTTATCAAGCCTCTATCTTGACTTTCTCCAAATGTCCTACATTCCATTTCTTGTCTGTGTTATTTAGGGTGTCACAGGCAGCCCAGGAAGAGCAGGACTGGCTGGAGCCCCAGGTCCTCGAGGAGGAAAAGGTTCATCAGGCCCTCCCGGAAGCCCCGGTGTTCCGGGCCCAAAGGTATTTCCCTATTGTGTGTGTCAGGACCCTGCATGCACTGACTAGGTCACAGCTGAATGTGTTTTAATGAGATCTGGCTAATAGGAAAACCACATTAGGAAAAAGGAAAGTATGTGACCTATGTGTATGTGCTTCCTGTGGTTAGCGACCAGGTGTGGGCGGTGGGGTTTCCAAACTCCGTTAGTTGTTTCACTCCCAGCTGCTCATTAACCAAGCGCTAAAGGCATTGCTAAGACCTTCCTTCCTTACTTGTTTTGTGCTCTCATCCTTCTCTGTCATCTGTCTTCTACTAGTAGAGAAATGGAATTTACTGCTAGATGCCCACTTTCTCACATACATTTCTTATTCCTCCAAAGTGGAATATAGCCAATAAGCTTTTATAATCAACAAGCCTGATAACAGAGCTGGCCCCTGCTCAGATTGGTAGAACTGAGATGATTGTCATGGTAAAATCAGAGTCCATCCCTCAGGAAATTTTCTCTCTCTGGTGTCTGTAGCAGGGTCGTCTCTGGAAAGCAGGAAAAACCTCACAAGGATAGATCCCTCGTGTACAGAACATGTTCTAGCTCTAATAACACTTTCTACACACGTCACCATTTCCTCTGAATCCCCCCATATCCATTTCATAGGCTCACCCCTTCTCTTTCCTTTTCCCATGCACTATGGCAATCCCTGGCATTCTCTCTACTTATGGCTATACTTTTTGCTATTATAATAAAATTTTACTTGTGGAAAATGGTGGGAAGGACGAAGATGATAAATTTGGCATCCCCAATGCCTTATACTATTATGAAAAAATGAATATGTATTTGTATTTCATTCATATATTTTTAGATTCTAAGGTCAAGATCACTTTTCTTTGTTTGGCCTACAGGGTGAACAAGGGCTACCTGGTCAACCTGGAATTCCAGGTAAAAGAGGTCAGCGAGGAGCACAAGGTGACCAAGGACTACATGGAGACCCTGGTCTGAAAGGGCAGCCGGTATGTGTCAACTCTGAAATCAGCACGCACTTACTCCACAAATCAAGCCACCAATAAACAGTAACAATACTCCTGTCTGTTCATCCTGCAGGGAGAACATGGGGACCAAGGGTTGACAGGTTTCCAAGGATTCCCAGGCCCCAGGGTACGTTTATATATGTTCTAGTAGTCTTATCTTGAAAAAAGACAGGTGTTGAAATACTCAATACTTATCTTGCAACTTGTGCTTTTCTTTGATCTTTAAAATTCATATTGCTATACCCGTGTGTTTGAGGTTTGAAAATGTTAATTTCAAACAGTAGGATTAAAGTTCAAGGCAAGCCTGGGATATATGAGACCTTATCTGGAGAACAAAAACAAAAATAAACTTAAAATAAGTCTGGAGAGATGGCTCATTGAGTAAGACACTTACCGTACAAGCAAGAAGATTTGGGTTTTGGTCCCCAGAATACACATCAAAACTAGTCACAGTAGTTCAGATTTCTTTAATCACATCACCCAGTGTGAGAAGCCAGGAGCCAGTAAGACCTGTGGGCCAGTTAGCGTGGCAAGAAAGACCACAAACATGGTAAAAGATAGTGCCAGTCCTCTAATTCTACACATGCACCCTCTCCTTCTCTCTCTCTCTTTCTCTCTCTCTCTGTCTGTCTCTCCTCCACTCTCTCCCTCCTTCTCCCTCTTTTTCCTTCCCCCTCTCTCTCACACATTGATAAAATAAAATCTCTATACTCTTATGTCCCATCAATTTTCCTATATAATTGTTATTTGTCCCATTTTAAGAGCTACTTTTGATAATTCTGTCTAGATTGGTACGGGACTCTTCATTTGTAAGATATTTATAGAAGGCTAAAGCAGGCTTTCTGTTTTTCATTGTGTCTCTAGGGTCCGGAGGGGGATGCTGGTATTGTTGGAATTGTAGGTCCTAAAGGTCCCACTGGGCAGAGAGTAAGTATAGAGTCACCTTGTCATCCAAGACCTCTGCTTCTTTGGTTATTATAAGACTTAATTAATATACTTCACACTAATAATAACTTAATAAAGTGATTTTTAAGACAAAAAATCATAACTGCATGTGCAAGCTGCAACTTTTCACAGCTCATCAATTAGTTTGAGCAAAATACCATCATGGACCACCCACACTTCTCAGTACTTATTTTAAAAAAAAAGTCATCAGCATAGCGAAGAATGGACAGTGTATCTGTTAACCAACCCCAGCACCAACAAAACATAAAGCAGTTTTGTATCATGCCTGTTAATGCAGCCAGAGTCCAAACACCACCCACCCAGGAAGGCTTGCTGCTGGCCAGAGCTTCTAAGACCACACTTCGACAGTTCTCTCCCCAAAGCTGAGTTTTCTCTGCTCCAGTTCCGGCATGCCAAAGAGTGGTATGAATTGCTGGCAGGTTTCCAAAAGTCAAAGGCTAGCAAACTCCGTTTAGCAGTTTAGTGCTGCGGGATGTAGTGAAAGTCTCGGTCCTGGACAGTGTTAGTTTTGCCTTGTTATAGTTTTTATTAAGGATGCTCTGCAAAACAAAAATGAAACAAAACAAAGGTTTCAAACTTCAAACAGTGATTTGGCTGTAGTCATAGAACTCCACAGCTCACAGCAGCTGCCAAGGCTCAGATGGACAGGAGAGAGTGGAAGAAGAAACAGTTCAAATGCAACAGGAAGGACTCCTGAAGAGCTTTACAACCCCACAACACTGTCTTGGTTACAACAGTGAACAAAGTCAGATTCTTAAAATTCTATACCCCTCCCTAACTCTGCCAATAGATTATTTTCAATAGAACAAAGAGCAGCATTCTTGTGGGATCATTTCATTGGAGGCCTGCCTCAGTACTTTGTCAGGTGTAAGTTTGTCAATTGTTTTCACAATTTCTAAAATAAAAAACAAAAATAAAGCAGAGTGGGTGCTGTAAAGCACAATTTCTGATTATCCACAAATGTGGTATACAAATGGGCTACTGTGAAAATACATGTTGTTTCTGCGACTCGTCAGCATCTGGCTTCCATCCTAAGTAAGGCCCATAAAGGGCTGAGACTCTGTGGGCCAGGACTGCAGCCTTTATCACTTCCTGGGTCAATCCCTTCTGTCATCTCGTTAATAGTACATTCCATGTAGAGAGCTCACAAGACCTAGACTAAGAAAATGTCTGGGAGACTCACGTTTATAGGAGATAAGTGAAAGTCCTACTATGTTAGTATTGGGGTGCGGGGGTGCTAGAGTCCAGTCTGTGTCTCTTTTGTCATTTAATTGTAATAAAATCTTACGAGAGGTGTTACCACTCCACTTTGAAGCTCAAAAAACTAAGTCTCGGGAAACCACTTCCAGGAGCATGGAAGGCTAGTATGGCAGCAGAGGAAGAACTTGCCCCCTATTTGATGGACCACACCACATGCTACAGGGCTGCCTGCTAAAGCTGCAGAATCATAATGCACAGTGGGTAGTGACTGGTCTCAAGGCTGTTTCCTGCTCCTAAAACCAAGAAGTACTGATGATTAAGTAAAAGCAATTAAGCTAGAAAATCAGGGCTCCATTCCAAAAACACACTTACATAGATAACTGCCACCTACGAGTAAAATCACAGTGTGATGTTTTTGAACACTTAGATAAATATATATATATATTATCTTAGATAATATTTATCAATATTATTGATATTGATAAATCGATAATGTTTTCAGTCTATTTTCTTCTAGTATCAGTCTATCCCTTTATACTCTTCTAGCAAATTATTATTTGGGAGACTTACATCGTAATTAATAGACTAAAGTTTCCTCAACATCTGTCTAGAGGTAACACTTCATTAAATTAAAATACCGAGTTCCTTGGTTCATTTATAGATCTGTGAAAATTTGAGTACCACACTTACAACTTATCTCTTAAAGCTCATTATGTTTAAAACGTTATCTCAACTCATAAGGTCTACCAGAAATTTCTCTTTTTAGAGATATATTTACTATTAGAGCTGTTGAACAATGGACCACATTACATCAAATTTAAATTGACAGTATTTTCCTTAACTCCACATATTGTAGGAAAAAAGAAAACCTCTTATGTATTTATGGTTGCCTATTTCATACTAACTATAAACCAGAAGAGAAACTTTCTGTTAGTGGGAGTGGGAGTAGAATTTGATAGGGAGGAAAAACTCAAATGAGTATTTTATATCCATTTAAAAATGACAGCCTATGCACATACTCAGAAAGGAATTTACTAGCTGCACAGCTCACTCGGGGAGATCTTCATATCAGCAGGTCAGACTTTCAGCATCGTTCATGTCCAGTTCCACAGTGGCTGTCTCACAGAGGAGCCTGCAGCTTGGTTGGTTACATGCGATTCCCTCTGGTTCCGCTTCATGCTCCCTGTCTGCCATGCTTCATGGAACTCAGGCACCTGTCCCTTCTCATTCAAACATGTGCTCATTTTTCTAGTGCCCCTACACAAATCAATTTCATTTGTTATGTAATGCTCTACATACGAAACATGTCCTTGGACTTCTCAACACATGAACATTTTAACTTTGATTTGTATTAGTTAGAAATAACAAATTATAGCTCCCCGATAGGAAACTACAGCAATATTACAATTACATCATATACTGTCAAAATTACTATAATTTATGCTAATAATATAAACTATTATTGCAAAAACTATTTAGGGGTAGCTATTTTATCATAGCACAAGTTTCTGGGTTTTTCTTTTCTTTCAATTTATATGAAGAATGAGGCTACTTTTTCTTAGGGTGAAACTGACTGCTTCCTCTACCCCCTACAGGGAAACACTGGCCCTCTGGGCAGAGAAGGTATAATAGGCCCGACAGGTGGAACTGTAAGTTTGTTACAGCACAGCTTTTATTCTTTTCTTGTTGATCTTCTTCCAAAATTCCTGTTTCTAGAATATGCTATTAAAAAAAAATCAGCCTGAGTACTTGGGAAGCAAAGGTTAAAAAAGCAGTTATATGTTTTCTTCTGGAAGGCCATTCTTAGGGCTCAGAGCATAGTATGTTTGAGTGATGGAGGCACTTTAGGTTTAAAAAAAGAAAAAGGAGCTGACCCAGGGAGAGGAGAGAGTAATAAACACTGAAGCAATCACTAAAGCTGGGTAAAAATGGGTCCACTTCCGAAGGAAATGAGTTTTTTGATAGCCAAGAGTTGAGTCTTTAGAAAAGTGGTTCTCAATCTTCCTAATGCTGCAACCCTTTAATACAGGATCATGTTGCGGTGACCCCGACCATAAAATTTTCATTGCTGCTTCCCAACTGTAATTTTGCTACTGGTATGAATTATAATGTAAATATCTATGTTTTCCGATGGTCTTAGGTGACCCCTGTGGAAGGATGTTTGACCACAAAGGTGCTGCGACCCACAGGTTGAGAGCGGCTGCTTTAGAAGCCCCCACTGTAAAGAGAAAGATGTTGCTAAAATGAGGAAGAAAACCAGAGTAGTGCAAGGTTAGACATAACAGTCTCAGGAGAGGAGTGGTCAATGGGTTCCACTGAACACAGACTGGACTGTGGAAGGGTGACTTCTTTCAAACTCTTTTTGTAACCCCTATGGCTTTTGTTTTGCTCTGTTTCCATGACAATGCTTCTCAAATGGTTGGAGTAGTCATCATCTCTATTCAATAGATGACATTTATAGAGGGTCAGGACCCAGTGAGTTCCAGAGCTGATGTTTCCACCCATTCCGTCCATGTCTGGAGTGGGCATAGTCAGTATATTGCCAGTGCTGAAAGAAATTCGTTGGTGAAGCAACAACAAGAACTAAGACAACAACTGAAACCGTGTCGTGGAGCTGATTGCAGCACTGATAACCTGATAATACACACAGAGGAAGGAACACAATAGGGTTGAGACTCAGAAAACCAAGACTCATTCCCTTCCAGAAAGCCATATTTTGAATCATTTGAAAGTGTTATGTGTAGATATTTTAAAATTGAAAATGAACTGTTTTGAGTGCTAAGGGGAGCTCCTCTCTTTGATAAATTTAGAGAATTCACCACTAAACTTTCTGGAGTTTACTCAAAAGAAATAAAATGTGTAACTCATTCTCTTGGCTTCCAACATTTGCTATTCAGAGCTACATAAAATTGTACGTGGGAGCGTTCTCATAGTTCAGTGGGTGGTTCTGCAGCACACACTGTTCTGATTAAGAAATGATTGTTCTCCTCTGTCAGAGATTTGAAATGTTATTGGTCAAGGAAAATGTGATAAAGAAATGTCTCAATTAAAACATCTCACTGAGTTGTGTTTATCCAATAGCTGTTAAAGGTCATTATACTATTCACCATGCACACCAAATTTCTTTTCAAATTTTTCCATATTCTGTTCTTTCCATTCTAAGAAGAAAAGTCCATTATAAGAAATAAGCATCTGAAAGTCTCTCTTTCTCTCTCTCTCTCTCTCTCTCTCTCTCTCTCTCTCTCTCTCTCACTCTCTCACACACACACACAAATATTGTGTGAGAAAATAAATAGGTGTAAGGGCAATGATGAAGTTATTTTCCAAATAGGAAAACAATAATGAAAGTGCAAAATCATTGTAATGGAACGCACAATGCATGGTAGTACAAAGAAAAAACTGATCAACATGACAAGAGGGCAGATTTAGATATGCAAGCGTATTGTAATTTAATCATTACCTCCCCCCCCAAAAAAATGCTTCAAGTAGTCTAAAAACTTTAAAAAAAAACAAACAGGTTTTAATTTTGAATTTTTAAATCTGGTATGAAAAACCTAGTCCCAAACACAATAAGAGATTAGTATGACGCAGCTGAGAGCACTTACCATGCAAACTTGACATGCTGAGCTCAGTCCCCAGATCCCACAGAGGGAGAAGAGAAAGAGCTCGCATCTGAGGACTGTTCCCTAACTTCCACATGAGCCCCACCTCAACACATATAATGAATAAAATTAAAGGGGAACAGTGAAGATGAAAGAGAACAAAGAAACTGCTCTAGAAACAAGGATTTCAAAGGCAGAGAGAAACAAATATGGAAGGTAGATGTTGAAAAGATTTCCTTTGCAAATTTGTTTGTGAGTGGGTGTCACTGTCCTGACTTCCCCACCTGAGGAAGATGCCCACTCCAATGCCACTGCAGCGTGGAACTTGGAGTGGCGAGCACAGCATAAGCCTTCCAAATGGGTTGGTTGGTTTGGTTTGGGGGGTGGACAGAATTTTTGATTACTCAGAAACCTAAACGGTATAGAAGTTAACAAATCTATCCACATAATAAAACAAAAATATAAAATGACATGTTTCTGAATACAGCCATTACTGCATCAAACAGATGCCTGTCCATGACTCTGAACTACCATCTTTTCCTCTCTCTTTTAGGGACCCAGAGGTGAAAAAGGCTTTAGAGGTGAAACTGTAAGTTTAACTAAACAATGAAATTTGTGATTACAGCACCCCTTATCTCTCTGTGATAATCCCCAGGGAGTTAAAGGCTGTGTTTGAGTTGCCTATCATGCCTCTGATACTCATGGACTAAAAAAATCAAATTATAGTTGTCAAGAAGAAACAACATGTATGGTACATTCCAGTGGAATCTGATAAGCCCCAAAGTGTTTAAGGACCTGCCAATCATATACTCCCTAGATCGCCATGTGCAGAAGAAATGGGTCTTCTCTCGTACCCAAGCAGCAGCCCTACCAGTTCCCATTAGGCACATATGCTATATCCATCCAGCACAAACGATGCTGCAAGGGAGAACCAAGGTAGCATTTTTGTGCTCTTTTGATAGACTCTTGCTATGTTGCCCAGCCTAGCTTCGAATTTTTACTCTTCCTGTTTTCTCTCCTGCTGAGGGTAGGGATGGCAGACATACATTTTCTTTTTAATAAAATTTTTGTTGTGTACACGTTCATTATACGAAGTGGCGGTGTGAGCTGTATGTATAGACTGCACATCTACCATTTCGCACAGGTTCCATTATTTGGTTGGGTTTTGCCACAAGAGCGAGTTCTGCTGAGCAGACTGCAGCATCCCCCATGAAGAAACAGAAGGCATGGAGTCATTAGCAATTAGAAATTATGCTAATTAGCTAAAGGGAGAACACATGACATTCGAATTTTTTTTCCTAACAAACAATATAGCGGTTTGGACTTTATAGTGAGAAAGCTGCGTGTCTCCTGCAGCACAACTTTGTAGATCCGAAAATAGTTAGAAATGAGTCCTTCCCATGCTCCTAGTCCTACTCCAGCTTGATATGCCAAGGCGGGTTGATGTCTGTAGGCGCCCTCCCTGTCTCAGAGGAAAAAGGGAGGGGAAGATGGGAAGAGGGATGGGAGAGGGAGGGACTGGGAGAAAAGGAGGGAGGGGAAGCTGTGATCAGAGATGTAAAGAAACAAAATAATCAAAGAAAGAATGAATGAATGTGTCTTTCCCACCTGTAAGGCACTGCTTCTATACATCCATGCGAGACAGATTTCTTTTCTGCTCTATGCTTGGTCCTTGTCTGGCTGCCTACACTGAGGCGTCCTGAGAAACCTGCTCACAGGTAGTATATAGGAGTATGTAGGAAACACAAAGCTCTTATGTTTCCGATAAATTAATTTTTAAAAGTTACAAAGAATTCCTGACTTCCCTGGGATTCCAAAACACTTTCAGGATAGAATTAATTAATTTGAGGAGAAATTTAAAGAGCATTGCCAGAAATAATAGAGTGTAGTTATTTTAAAAGTAAAACAATAACTTACATCAAAAATAATGTTCTATTGTCTCTCTTCTGATTTTGACAGAATGTCACAACTTGAAACATAACTTAAAGCAACAGAAGCAGGAAAAATGTAAAAAGAGCAATTCACCACAAATTTTAGAGAAGCTGCTTCATCTTTGTAGTATTTTATGATAAGACAAGAATTAGTATAATTCTGAAGAATTCCACACACACTTTCTCAACCACTCTAATTTAATATCACTTCACAGCTTTTGAGTATCAGAATTATCTTATTCCCTCCAATTTGGCTTATATGTTATAAGAAAAATTAATATATGCAAAAACAGCCTATATATTTTAAATTTAAGAATTTAAAATATAAATTTAAATATAAATTTAAAATATATTTAAATCTTAAATTTAAAATATATAAGTGTATATTACATTCCCAGATAGTATAATTCACTCAAATGAAAAATAAACAAACTCCTTTAATTTAACTATGAATTCCTCTAAACTCATACAAACTTTCAAATTGAAACCTTTAACTCATATTCATGGATGTAAGCCCTTTCTCCAGCTACAAAAGATGAGGAATAAAATTTTTCTTTTAAAAGGCTTGAAAACCGCAATTCTCACTCTCTCTTTCACTGTCCCTCTGTCTCAAGTGTGTGTGTGTGTGTGTGTGTGTGTGTGTGTGTGTGTGTGTGTGCATATTTGTGTGTGTGTGTTCAAATGTAGAGCCTTAAGCATGCTAGGCAAGTGCTCTGCCACTGACTACATCTTCAGCCTGAGAACTAAATTCTTAGGTGGGCCGTGAAAACCATCTTCACCCAGCCTGTTATTTTTCAAACGAGATCTCTGTGACCCAAGTCTGTAGGGAGTACACTCAATAAGTTATGAAGACAAGATTAGAACTTATGTCACCTCATTTGCAAATAATGTCTTCTCATAAATCACTGAGCCTCTCAGAAAACAAAAGGTTGGGGACCAGCTGGGCAAGGGAGCTACAGAGAGAGTAACCGGCCACTCACAGGATGGTCTGAAGAGCAGACTCCTAACTTGCAACCATGCTTTAAACCGCCTGATTCACTGATCCCATCCTAGTACTGCTGCTGTTTAACAAATCTTATTAGATATTGTAAAGCTCATAATTAATCCCTCCAAAGTTCTCAGAAGTCATCTGCCTCTTAGCACCAAAGAAATAGTGGGCAGAGGCTAAACACACTCTTCAGTTGTCACAGCTGGGCAAGGGAAACATGCTAGTGACACTTAGAAGGTAGAGGCTAGGAATCCTGTCATAGAAGTCCTCAATTTTTTTAAATTTTTTTAATGTTTTAAAATTTTTATTTATTTATTTTATTAATTACAATTTATTCACTTTGTATCCCAGCTGTAGCCCCCTTCCCCATCCTCTCCCAATCCCACCCTCTCTCACTGTTCTTCTCCTATGCCCCTCCCCCACTCCAGTGATAAGGGAGGTCCTCCTCCCCTTCCATCTGACCCTAGCCTATCAGGTCTCATCAGGACTGGCTTCTTTGTCTTCCTCTATGAACTAGAAAGGCTGTTCTTCCCCACCCCACCCCCTTCAGATGGAGGTGATCTAAGAGCCAACCCATGAGTTCATGTCAGAGATGGTCCCTGGTCCTATTACTGGGGAACCCTCTTGGATACTGAGCTGCCTTGGGCTACTTCTGTGCAGGGGTTCTAAGTTATCTCCATGCATGGTCCTTGTTTGGACTATCAGTCTCAGAAAAGACCCCTGGGCCCAGATTTTTTGGTTCTGTTGCTCCACTTGTGGAGATCCTGTTCCCTCCAGGTCTTTCTATCTCCCCCTTCTTTCATAAGATTCCCTGCACTCTGTCCAAAGTTTGGCTATGCATCTCAGCATATATTTTGATACCCTGCTGGGTGGAGTCTTTCAGAGGCCCTCTGTGATAGGCTCCTGTTTTCTTTCTCTTTCGATGTCTGGCTCATTTGCCTTTCTGAATGAAGATTGGGCATCTTACCCAGGATCCTCCTTCTTGCTTAGCTACCTTAGATGTACAGATTTTAGTATGATTATACTATTTCATATGTCTAATATACACTTATAAGTGAGTATATACCATGTGTGTCTTTCTGCTTCTGGGTCCTACTGGTGGGAATGTAAACTTGTACAACCACTTTGGAAATCAATCTGGCGTGCTCTCTCTCAGACAAATAGGAATAGTGCTACCTCAAGACCCAGCTATACCACTCCTAGGCGTAGATCCAAAAGATGCTCAATTATAGAACAAGGACAGCTTTATTTATAATAACCAGATGTTATTTATAGCTTTATTTATAACAACCCAGATGTCCCTCAGTTGAGGAATGGATACAGAAATTGTGGTACATTTACACAATAGATTACTACTTAGCAATTAAAAACAAACAAAAAAAATCATGAAATTTGCAGGCAAATGGTGGGATCTAGAAAAGATCATCCTGAGTGAAGTCCTCAATTTTTAAATGGAAAGACTTACTCTAAAACTGAATCAGCCTAGGAGAACTCATGATGTAAATGATAATTGCATTTACATAAGTGAAATGAAATAAAGAATTTATATAAGAAAAAGACAACATCACAGACTCAGATTCAATGACACATCCTTCTTTTCTTAAATCAAATGATAAGCTGCGTTACTGTTTAAAGACTTGTTAAATCAGGGAATGGGCCAGAGAGAACTTGACAAAATTTAAAGAGAATGCTTTCTGTGTAGCCACAGCCATCTCTGTGAATGTGGTGCCCCTCAGGAAAATGAGAGTTTTGCTACAAAAAACTTTATAGTAGTCGAAAGTGGAGAACTTTTTAGTGGTGTTAGCTGAAGGAATAAGGGAACTAACAACGCAGTATGTGGTTGGAATCACAATTTGTTTTATATGGTTACTTGACCTCTTTCATGCCATTGTTGATTAGGGTTGCCCTGCCCTGTCTTGTTGTGTGTTAAGTATTTCATTGGATCATATTTGTGGTGAAATGGTTTGCTCTGAGGAACAAGCTGAAATGAATTTGGTAGTTTGAGCAGTAGGAAGAGATTGTTCATTTTTCTATGATACATTCCTCTTTCGGAGTCAAATATAGAATAGATGTTTTATATTGAACCATCAAAGAGATTTTATAAATGCCGGAGACCTGTTAAGTGGTACAGTTGCACAGCTGTTTATTATTTTTGCAGGGTTGATTCAGAATGAATCTAATTTGCCTTAACCTCTGCATAATTTGAAATTAGACCATCACTAATAATGGGATTCCTGCAACTTAACAGGCAGCTTCTGAGGAATTCTGTACATTCTCTTACTGAATTTGTAAGCATAAAAAATAAAATTTTAGGCATACTTGATGCAAACTATGAAATATCTATCAGGCATAGAGTTTTCTATCCTGCTTAAGTAACTCTGTGTTATTTGTTCTAGCTGTCACAATAGAACCAGCATTAAAAGCCTTAGCAATAAAGGGTCCTGAATATGAAACCAGTTTCAGTATCAACATTATTTGAAACCAGCTGGATATTAATTCTTCTTTTTGCCATCTTTTAACAATAATATGAGTTTGACTCAATATGTTTTTATCATTCAATTCACCATCAAATAAGCTAATTTTGAGCAGATGTGTAAGGCATGAACAATGATTGCTGTTGATACGTTTTGAAAAATGTCAGCATAACATTTGGCATCTACGTGTATCTATTTAGCCTTCCTTCTTTCTAAATTAATAAAAACTTTTAATGTTGTTCAATTATGTGGTAAGAATTACTGAGAATCTATTCTTGTTCCAGAAAGTTAAAAAGCAACAGACATTTTATCAAATCTTAGGAACTTTCCACAATGCTGTGTTCTATGGAATTAAAAAAAAAAAGTAGTAGTTAGTTGAGGAGAAAGAAACTGATATGACAGGTAATTGTGGAGGACATAGAGTTTTAAAGTAGTTTTGAGAGAGAAATGAGCCGATAGGATGGGCAGGCAGGAGTGTGTGCGAGAGAATGCATTTATGAAGGAACTTGGGATGCCAGGCATGGTGATACAAGCCTATAATCCCTGTACTAGGAAGGCTGGCCCAAGAGAATTGGATGTTTGAAGCCAGATGGGCATCAGAGAGAAAACCTATAGAAAGAAAAGAATGAAGGGAAGGAAGACAGGAGAAAGGGGGAAAGAGAAGGAGGGGATAGGGAGAGAAGGAAGCTTTAGAGACATGCAAGTAGCTGGCTGTAGAAGGTATGAAGTATGTGTTGATAAAAGCCCACACCTTGAAGAGGAGGCAACAGGAAGAGGTGTCTAAGAACATCGTTTCTGTGTTCAGCTGACTTAAGTTTTGGCTCAACCTGTGTTCCTCATTCACGGGCTGCTTAGTTGTTTCATTGTGTGTGTGTGTGTGTGACATGGAAATATAACACACAACTTAGCACATGGAAGAAGCTCAGTATACAGTGATGACCCACACTATTAAGAAGTTTATGCCTTACCTCTAACTGAGAGCCACAGGGTGACTAGTAGAAGGACCAGGTTCCAGTTTCTAAGAATAATGTTATCAGTATAATAGACTGGACTCTTCCCGTGTCACAGAATGTCTGCTTCTTCCTTTATCCTGCATGAAAGGGAGCAGCTCATTGCTATGCCTTTCTTAACAAGGAGATTAATCCCTTTATAGGTAGTCCACCTCATAACCAAATTAGCTCTCAAAAGCCCCATTGCAGTCACCACAAAGTTAGAAATTAGGACATTATTCAGAGTTTAGGGGATATAAGCATTAGGCCATAACATGTGATTTACACTGAGTATAAAGAGGCATTTTAGAGATGTTTAAAAGGATATAAATTATAAATATTTAAATATTAAAACCAATGAAGTTTCCAGCTTTAGTGTTTAGGTGGGTGCTATTAGAAATAGCTTGGGCTACATTAAGATTTTCCATCATAATTTACTTAATTTGCTAAAATGTACAAACTTAGCCCACCCACCCCAATAAAAAATTAAATTTCCAGGTTGTTCAGAATTGTGGGTCACAGTTAAGGGCAGGTGCTTCTAAATATAGAAAAAGTTGCAAATCACGTGGTCTGCATGGCCTCAACAGGCAATAGCAGAGGTTGGACCTTGGTTGATATCAAATCCAAATCAATCTCCATACTGTGCATTATCTTCATTTATTTTAGGGTCCCCAAGGACCAAGAGGACAACCAGGACCTCCTGTGAGTCCATTTATATTTATATCTGTTTGCCATTGATGAATATATGGTTGCCTGGTATTGAGCTAATTTACTAACAAGATTTTGTTATGTTTTCTTTTTTGATTATGTTACAGGGTCCACCCGGAGCACCTGGTCCAAGAGTAAGTTTTCCTGGTTGGTTTCATTCTGTTGCACCTGGTCCAAGAGTAAGTTTTCCTGGTTGGTTTCATTCTGTTCTGTCTCAGGATATCAACTTGTGGGGTAGGGGGAGGTGTGTGTGTATGTGTGTGTGTGTGTGTGTAGGTCAGAGGAATATGTCTGCTCTTATTGTTCTATCTTCCATCTTACTCCATTGAGACAGGTTCTGTCACTGAACCTGAAACTAATAAGCCCCAACAACACATTTGTCCCTACGCCCCACAGCTGAAGTTTGCATGCTTACTCCACCATACCAGTACTTTTATGTGAGTGCTGGGCTGACTTGCACTTGAGCAACAAATGCTTTTATCCACTGAGCTATCTCTCAACCCCCATCATGTGAACTTTGAACTGTTAAAGTCGTCCCTTCCTTCTGGTATACCTTAGTTCTTTTTGCTAAGCCAACCCAGTTACAGTGACGTGAAATCCAAGCCCTGTATTTCTTATCTAGAAAAGAGTGATTGTGTTTCCTGCTTTTTTATTAAATTTGAACATTAAACAGTAGAAAAGCATCCAGCACAGAGGATAGTACATAATACTCTATTTTTTTTTCTTGTTTCTGGGACCTGGCTTTTCATTTTAAATCTTTCTCTTTTTTTTTTTAACCACAGTTCTCTTCTTAGGTTTTACATGAATCTTTGTCAGTTGCTAGTGTCTGAAAAAGCCATCAGACATCTCGTGTGTTTGCTTTTGATCTAATTACCACAGCCTAAAATATGCTAGGCTAATTTTAAAATAACATTTCTGTTTCTTTGGCTATTATCTCTGATATTGCAATATTTTGAGTTTAGCTTCTCTTCCTGTCTGCTGTGTACTCTAAAGTTTCTTTGACCCCTGCTTTCTATTCAGGGTCTCCATATACCAACCTGCCTCAGCCCATCTCATTCTATTGGTCCCCTGGTCACATACAATGCCAAGTGATCACATTTACTTCCCAGTTGACATTCACTGTTTGCTCCAAGCAATGGTCAGCCTTATGCCTTCCAAGTCGTAATTATTTCCACATGCTGTTCTTGTGTGTCATTTAGATCATGATAGTTCTGGGTGGCTGTCCGCCGTGTTCCATGCTCAGCAGATTCCAAACTCTCCATTTCCCTCAGTTTTGCTTTGCAGCTGGGAATAATTTTCCAGCAAGTGTCGCAGATCTTTGATACACACTATTCTGTTCTTCCTTGCCCTCCATGTCCTTGCAATGCACAGACTTGTTTCTTTGGCCCTTATCCATTGCCTCCAACTTTATAGTAGCTTTGAGAAATTGTAGCTGTCCTCCTGAAACAAAATAAGTTTTGAAGAGTCACAGAAGTAATGGCAAACTAGAAAGCTGTAGAGAAAATTTTTGTATTTAAGCACCTAATTTGGGGCCATATTCCCTGGTCTCAGCTGAAATGTCTATGAATTGATACACAGCTAAAATAGTAGACACATGAAAGGCTTCCTCTTTGAGAAAAAAAAATATGGATATGAATATTCAATTTGAGGAATTATTGAGGCTTAACTAGAAAATATCTATACTTGATAAATAATAGATCCTCCGTAAATGTTACATGTTCAATTCCTTCTTTGTTCTCTTCCTCTCCTCTGCCTTCCTTATGCTTGTCAGATGTAAAAGCTCCTTTCTTCACACTGTTTGCAGAGGCCAATTTAGGAACATTGAAGTCTAGCATTTGTGCAGCAGAGATCTAAATGACAACTGTCACGGCCTCCCTCAAATCTTCCTATCTCCTCCTCGAACCTTGAGAGACAATTGTTAGTTCTCCCTTCTTCACCCATGCTTACTTTTATGTTTGTTTCCTATTTAAGACCTTAATAAGCACGTGTTGAGGACATGTGCCATGTATGCACACGAGAGTGGGTATTCACACACTTTATACATCAGGCCTCTCAGAATATTTTGGCATGCATCCTCTAGGAAAAAGTTTTCCCAGGAGGGAGATAGGGTGACTGGATTAGAAGTGGAAGCAGCACAGAGACACATGAAGTAGTGTTATTGTGTTAAAACCTAGGAAGCAGAGAATCAGAGTCAAGGCCAGCTGGGCAACATTGTGCGACCCTGTCTCAGAGAAATAAAAGATTGGAAGTCCTCTCAGTACGTAATTCATCAGTTAGTTCAGAGTGCAAAGTAGATTCATTATTCGGTGGAAAATGAGACCAATTTGGTGAGCCTCTTACAACATTCTTTTGTAATAAAAATAAATACATCAATAGAGAATTGAATACACAGATCTGAAGAGGACAACTCAGTGAGTACAGTACTTGCTATGGGAGAAGGAGATCTGAGTTCAAATCCCCAGCACCCATGTGAAAAAGCTGGACATCGATATTTGCACATGTAATCAGCATTGAAAGGCAATGGCTACATCTGTATCTACCGTAATATGTTCTAACATGATAAAACTGGTAAATCTCATGTTCTATGAATCTTATCTCAGTAAAATTCAACCATTACAAAAACTCAGCGTGTCATTACTAGTAAGAATGAAATGTTTTTGCAAAGCCATTTTGTCAGTTATGTTTTTGTGTGAACCTAGTCATGGTGTAACAATTTCTTGCTGCGGGCTAGATGAAAGAAGTGTGACAAGCCCTAGCCCATCCTCCGTTTCCCCGCCCTCTAACGAAGGCCAATGGAAGGAAGTTGACTCACAGTCCTGTGGTACAGTGAAAAGCTAATGCTGCCGAGAAAGCAGTATTTGTTGATAAGGATGTGAGTGTGAGGATCCGGCAATGACTAGACCTCAGGGTCTATACTATGATACTTGGAAAGCAATGAAGGAATTTACCCTGGGCTGCTAGAGACGGCCCTCCACGTGCTAACGGGACGAGCGGGATGGGAATGGGTGTTCACAAACTTGTGGGCCTGTGTGTGCTGAGTGGCTGTGAGGAGTTCAGCTGATCTCTCCTAGTTCGTGGGTCAACTCTGAGCACTGGAGAGGTGGGTGGAGAGGTGGCAGTGAGGCCCCAGCTTCAAGGGACAGAAGTGCTTCCACTACAGAGGGAGTCCAGGCCTGAAACTGACTCCTAGTCCCTCAATGCTGTCACCATCCATCCACCTTGAGACTTCAGAACTCCCTAAAAAGGAACAATCCCAAACCCCTGAGGTGCCCAGGTTAGATGTGTGTCACCCACATGAACAAAGGAAAGAGGGGAGGGTTATATTCTGGCCACGTGTAGGGAAAACCACCTAATCCCCAGGACTGGAGACCAGGAGGTGCTTGCCAGCTGTTAACAGTGCTCTCACTCCTTATTCTGTTTCCTATTTTATATGCTCGTTTGTAAAAAAGGTTTAGGTGATTTTTCGCATGATAATATGTTCTCTCTTTTACTAGACTACATGAGGAAGCTGTCTTATTTTATTTTATTCTGGACCCTTTCCCTGCACTTAATGATAGCTTTATACTCAGATGTGGGCAGTTTTATGCCTGTGTTTAAAACATTAAGTGATTTTCATGTTATAATATGTTCTCTTAAGCTAGAGTACATAAAGCTTTTTTTTTTCTTTTTTTCCTTTTGCTTTTAATCCCTTCACTGAACTTAGAGCTTTTTCTGTCACTTTGTTTTAAAACAGTGTCCCAGGCTCACCTTGAGCTCATAATTTCAAGTACTGGGATTACAGTGTCTGCTGCCACACCCAGCTCTAAATGAAAATTCTGTGCTCAGACATGGACACCACTGAACCGTTACTGAATGACTCCCCCCCCCCAATCCTCTTAATTCAATCTGTCTGGGTCTACAAATGAGAAAAAAATAACCAAGTCAGCATAGAGAATTTTGAGTATGTGCCAAAGGGTAGACTGGACTTTTAGAATGTCTAGGAATTACAGAAATAAGAAGAATGCAAAAAGAAAAAAAAAATCATGAGAATTAATCCTGCAAAATGTCTTTGTTTTCTAAATTCTATTCCAAAAGATAACTGCCCTTTTCGTTGTGCTGTCTTTTGCATGGTTGAAACAATGGTGCTTTGGCATTAATAGTACCATCTTCTGCTGAGCTCACTGAATTCTTCACACACATGTCAAAGAAGGTAGACCAGTCATTTCATGTAGGGATAGGCTGGCATTCTTTCCAATCTTTTGTAAATACAATTAGTACAAGTGTCCTGTCAATGTGCCTATCATTTTGCATATGTGCAACATCCTTAGGACCAATCCCCAGTCGTGAGGTGTAGCTAGCATTCCTTCCCACTGTGACAAAGCACTAAGATAACTCACAGGAGTAAAGGTCTATATGGCTCAGAGTTTCAGAGGTTCTGTGAGTAGCCACTTGGCCACATTGCTTTGGGCTTACAACATCACACAATGTCAGTGGTAACTGAGTGAGGAAGAAACTGACATCCCGAACCTGCTCTGTAGACCAGGCTGGCCTTGAACTCAGAGATCTGCCTGTCTCTGCCTCCCGAGTGCTGGGATCAAAGGCATGTGCTATCACCGCCAGGTCCAAACCCGCTCTAAAGTCACACTCCTACGAACCTCCCATTTCCTGAAGGGTCTTCTACTCCCATCAGTGCCATAGACTGGTGACCAAGTCTTTCACGTGGGGACCTCTGGGAAATATGACAGATCCAAATCCTGCTGGATATTCAGCATACATGCATGGTATTTTCATTTTTGTACAATATATGTAACATGGAATTTTCCATCTTAAGTACATATAAATGTACTTCTGGCATTGGTGATATTAGTTGAGTTTTGCAACCAGTTCACCACCCATTTCCCAAACATTTCTCATCTTACCAAACTGAAATTCTGTATCTACAGAACAAGTCTGTTTTCCTTCTCTCAAGCCCCTGGCAATCATCAGTCTACTGTCTCAGTGAACTTGACCACGCTAGACATTTTACACAAGTTAGTCATGCAACGATTGCTCTTCTGTGACTGAGTTCCTCCCCTTAGCATAACTTGATTTTCACCATGTCGTAAGCATATATCAGAATTCATTATGTAGGCCTAAATAATATTCCATTAAGTTTTGTATAACACATTTGGTTTATCCAGATGAGTGTTTACATTGCACGCATCTTTGGGCCATTTTAAATAACAATGCTATGAACACAGGTATATAAATATCTGAGCCCAAGTTTTCAAAACATTTGGGTACACATTAGTGAAATTGGTGAATCACATAATAATCCTAAATTTAAACTTCTGAGAAATTACTATAGTGAATTACATAGCATCTGCCCACTTCCCTTTAAACACTTCCTTTCTGGGTTGGGTTTGACTTGGTTTTTATTTTTTGGATTATAAAACAATTACAGCATTTTTTCTTTCTTTTCCCTCCAAACTCTCCCATATACCCCTCCCCACTCTCCTTCAAATCCATGGTCTCTTTTTTCATACACATGCACACACGCGCACGCGTGAGCGTGTGTGTGTGTGTGTGTGTGTGTGTGCGCGCACGCGCGCGAGCTCCTAAATATGTTCATGTAATGCTCCTTCTATGTATCTTTTCAGAGCTGACCATTTGGTCCTAGACAACCTATTTCTGGATTCCTCTTTCCCAGGGAAGGCCACCTCTGCCTCTCCCAGCTTTCCTTGGTTGCTTGTAGTCATTTGTGTAGTGCTGAGAGCCTATAGACTTTTCTCCATAATCATTGGTGGCATCCTTGTTTAGCTCATGTTTGGGAAGCTATGATGGTGAGACTTTATGGGTGTAGCTTCCAACATGACTAGAAAACGCAATCTCATAGCGAACTCTCTGATCATCTGGCTCCTAAGAACTTTCTGTCCCCTCATCTACAATGTCCCCAGACCCTAGACCTGGTCAATAAGAAGGAGACCGTGCCTGGTACTGGAAACCCAGGTAGCTATTCAGCACTAGTGAAGACATGAATATAGGAGGAGAATCTACAACTACTCACTTACTAAACCAGCATAATCCGTAACAGCATTCTACAAACATTTGTCCTTATACTCACAGAGAAGTGTAGTCTTCACCCTTCATCAAAGAAACCATTCTTTGCAACAGAGACCACTACAGAAAACCATAACAAATCAAAATTTAGGTTGTGGACCTGAGACCAGATCTTGCTAGGTAGCCCAGGATGACCTATAACCACAGTGTAGCCTAGGCTGGCCTCAGCTTTCCTGGGTTGCCTGTAGTCCTGAGAGCCTGTAGGCTTTCCTCCATTCAGTTTACCATGTTCATTGCTGTCACCCTTGGTCAATTTCTACATTTCTGTTCATTCATCTTCATTTTTTTTTCTTTTCTACTCAGACTAAATAATCTCAATAAACCTGTCTTTAGAGTGACTGCTGCACTCTTCTTACTACTAAAATTTACTGCGGAGTCTGTCCAGTAAGTTTTCATTTCAGCTATGCTCTTCAACTCCATGTCATTATATGGTCTTTTTCAATGTAACTTCTGTCTTTATTTTGGAACTTTCTGATTGATAAGATGTATTTATCATTCTTTAACTCTTCAACCATAGCTAAGTCAACATCTTTGTCTTACACAATCCGGGCTTTCTCACGAACAGTTCTTTCTTTCTATAAATTTGATTTTAGGGAGAGAACGTGTGTCAGTCTGCCCTTGCAGAGGTCAGAGGACAACCTGTGTTGTCAGTTCTCCCCCTCCACCATGTGGACCCTGGGGATTGAACCCAGGCCATCATGCTTAAGCACTGGCACTTTTACTCTCTGGGCCATCTTGCTGGCCCCTCAGAGAGTTTCTATTGACTGCCTGTTTCCCTGCATAGTGACCAGGCCGTCCTGTTTCTTGCATGTCTTGTAATAGTCATCTTTTGCATTTCACAGGGAAGACTGATCAAAGACTCCCTCTAATACCCAAAATACAACAAATGCTGAAGTAACTTATATAAATTAGTATATCATTTACATATAACCTACAACCTTTAAATTATCTGCAAATGTTCCTGTAACCTTTAAGTTATCTCCAAGTCACTTATAAAATACAATGTAATAGACTATTTGTTGTACTGTATGTTTAGGTAGTAATGACGAAAAAGTCTGCATGTGTCCAGTACAGGTGAAACTTTTATACTTTGATCATGTTGAACCTGAAGATTCAGAATCCTCACATACACAGGACCAATTCAACTGTGTTCTTGTTGAAAACAAGACATTTTACATACTACAATGCTACACCCCTGCATATCCTGTTCCTGTCCTCAGCCCACAGTTATTCTTGTTGCTTTTTGTCATTGTTGGTTGACATTTCTGGATTATGTAACCTCTGCAAACTTTGCTATGTTTAGTGCTCAGATAATTTTTGTTAGAGATTTTCTAACACCATGGATAATGAGGCTACTGTTTTTTGCTAATAGGATTGTGTGTGTGATTGAGGTACCATTTAATGTTCAGCCAGGCAGTTGACAATTACACCTTAGCCTTCATGTGCTGTCACAGAGCTTCAAGATCAGCTAAAGCTGAGGGCTTAGCATTTCTCAGGGCTCTCTGAACACGTATGGGGTGCTAATATCACATTATATTTTAGACTCTGGAATATGCTCAGAGCTTTTGAAAGTCTCCATGGACAACACATTGTCTAGCTTTTCTGTGGAAACTTTTTGGTTACCCTAGTGGTTGCTTCATTCACTACTGTTTTAAACAAAGTTAAGAAATTAACTGCATATGCTTTTGGAAAATGCTCCTGTTGTGCTGGACAACAGCTGGATAGGGTAAAATAAGGATGCTCTTAGGTATCTTCCTGGGAATCACCAGAAAGGTCAAATGATGACAACGTCCAGGAAGTCAAATTCTGAAATGACTCCGGTCCTTCACGGTCCCTCCTGTGTCTGTCACATTCTGAAGTCTGTTGACTTTGTCAGAATTCAAAATCATAATAAATTTAACTTAAAAGGCCTTTGGCTTTTATCTATACTTCTACAAGTGAACAGTGCCTAGTTATATAAAATAGAATGGCTGTTCTGATGATCCAAGTCAAAATAGTAAGAGGAAACAGCAAATCCACTGACTACAAAGACCAATGTGAGCTTTTTACCTTTCATCATTAGCCCAAACATCACAGATGTGCAAAAGGCAGTACCACCTTTATGGGGTTTTTGTTTGTTTTATAAAACAATACATATGAATATTTTAGTGATTTTATTATATAATGGATGTATTATTATTTTAAGCAATTAATAAGTCATTTACATTTTTATGTTTGTATTTCTACTTTGGAAAATACCAAAAGTTCTAACTCATGTAAGCAAAGTCTTCTAAGGTACTCAGTTATACTTTTGGTTGGTTGGTTTTCTATTTTCTGGGGCTGAGGATGGAGCCCATGGCCTGTTGTATGCATGGAGAGTGCTTTACCTATGAATTACAGCCTCAGTCCCATTCAAACATAGTAAAAGCCCAAGAACTTTGATTAAAGTGTCTGAGAGCCTCTGTGCTAGGTGTGCTAGTTAATACTTTTAGTCACATACCAGGAGCCAGCATGGCGCATGCACCTGTGACCCAGCATGGCGGCGTGCACCTGTGATCCTAGCAATGGAGATGCTGAGGCAGGATAGTGAGTTCAAAGACATCCTGAGTAACATAGCAAGACTTTGTCTCAAACTTCAGGATTGGTTAATCTATGAGAAGAGTTCTTAGCCTAATCTCTCCCGCTTCTTGAAGAGATCATCACTTGTGGACTTTATCTAGGATTATTACTTCTGCTTGGGAAGCTCTCGTTCTGTTTCCTGGTTATTCTATTTCTTTTTTCCACTCAGATACCACTAATGCAAGAAAATGTTCCCTTACCAATGTCTTGCATGCGTCAGTTTTGGCTCCCAAATCTCTCTCCCAGTCCCATGCACTTTTCTTCCCTAGCTCATATAACATTTTTAATTGTATGGTTTTACTTGCTCACTTGATCTATGCTCTTTTCCCCCTCTGATGCTAACCTCTAGTGGAACAATTTTCTTTCTTGTTTATCATTTTCTCCTCAATACTTATCATAGTGTGTTTGGAAATACATGTATGCAGAATGAGTGAATTGTTTTCCAATATGAAAACCACATGTGAGGTCAAAGAGGAAAAGTGGGTTTTATTGATTGTTCCATCATCTTAAATGGCTTTTCCAATGACTAACTGTGACTTGAGAACGAACTGTTGATAAACAGCGTCTATCCTATGGGCTTGCAAAAAAGAAACCTGAGCATTGTAATCATTCTGAGCTCAGTCAGGTGGCTTACTTCACCTACACAGACATGATTTTCTGCAGCCCTCCCCCAGCTCATGCTTCTTCATGTCCAAGATATTTTTTTTATTACAAAAAGACTCTTACAAATGGTTATACTGAGTTTTTCTCCAAAAATATTCTCTTTTATTAAATACAGGAGCAGATTGAGTTTGTGCTATGTTTTTTCTTTTGGGACTAATGGTACATTTTCCAACTTCAGAAATTGTTTTTAAGACCGCAAAAGTATCATATTCGACTATTGCGGTGACTGCCTCAGGACAGCAGTATTTTATTCTACTTTCCTTCCAAGAATAGAACTGTTAAAATTACTACAGTTATTTATTCTTCAATTTGTGATTTATTGTGTGAGGGGATTGTGTTTCATTCTTCTTCCACTTGAGTAATGGCGTATGCACACGATAATGCATTGGGAACAAACAGCTCACACTGATAAGCTTTAGGTCCGGTCCCATTTAAATAAGACCTGTGGAACCTGGATGAAGGCAGCGTGCTGACTTTCATGTTAGGTAACCAGGCCTTAGTTCCAACATCTGTCATCATCAGAGTTACAGAATCCGTTCAGATCAATCTGGTAGGTTTGTAGAGCAAGGCTTTCAGACCACACTGAACACAGAGTTCCTCAGAACACTCTCTTGCTCTTACAGCTATCTCAAATGGTTTTGTTTTACACAGAGACAAATGGATATCAATGCTGCTATTCAAGCCCTGATTGAATCAAATTCTGCCTTGCAGATGGAGGTAATATATCTGGATCTGTTTATATTGGCACTTCCAATATTCAAATTAAACAGGGATTTTTATCTCAAAGGTTGTATTTAAAACAGAAACTGTTCTTACACATAACAAAACAGAAATATGTGCCTAGGATGCTTCATAAGAAAAAAATGCTTAAAACAAAAAATTGAGACTTTTAAAGGACCTAAAATTTGTCAAGGGATTTGGAACTGTTTGGAAAGACAGTAAAGTAAAATTAACCATATTTCTTACACAGAGCTTTATCATAATCGCTCGTTTCATTTAATCTCGGAAAGAAAAAAAAGTGTGTTCTCCCCCTATTCTGAACCTACTCAGTCATCTATGTAGATACATAAACAAGTGCATCTGTAGGTACAGAACAACATACAGAAAGGAGAACGCGGAAAGCTAAATATTAGGGGAGAAGGGAGATTCCATGCAGGTAGTGGACATGACTTATAAGAAAGGGTACAAAGCTAATTGCTTCCCTAATTCTTACTCTGTCATGGGCTTTTCATTTTGCTTGTTGGATAAGTACATAAAAATGTGTTTGATAGCAAAAGTGTAAATCCACTGTGAACCTCCACAGATTCAGAACATATGTACTGAATGTACATATGTTCAGATGTACAGGAGACCATTAAGTGGTCTTTTGTTCTGGTTAAGTTCAGTGTGATTTTTTTTTTTGAACTTGCAACCTTTTTGAGGTAAGGTTTAAAATAAAGTTTGGACTCTGTTTGCTATGGAGTTTTAATGATGTGGAGCATGGTACAGCAGGCATAATAATTCCTTGAGCCTCTTGTCAGCTTACAAACTTAACTTTGACCTCCTATTGTGACTCGGGGTAAGAAGCTGCTGTCCTTGCTGAGATGTAGAGATATAGACTCCCCCCTCCACCCCCCCTACCCCCACCCCCCGTTCCCAACCCCCGGAGAGTGATTAGGATCACATTCTCATTCTGCCTTGTCCGGGTTGTTACTAGGGTTTTCTCGCTTATATGATTCTTATGATAACTTGGCAGAGTTACCAGAATACTGAAGTGACTTTAATCAACCACAGCGCAGAGATATTCAAAACCCTGAGCTACCTTAGCAGTTTACTGAGCAGCATCAAGAATCCTCTTGGCACACGGGATAACCCAGCACGGATCTGCAAGGATTTGCTCGGCTGTGACCACAAGGTTTCAGATGGTAAGTCCTTCTCCTCAGATTCCCATGTCCAACTTCATCATTTCAAAGCATTTGTGATCTGCCATGCATTCACTTCAAATCTCAGTCATTTTGGTAAAACATCAGCAAAAACCATCATAATTTCATCAAAACTGAAATAGTCTTTGAGGACAATATACTTGTGAGAATACTCACCCATGTCCTTTGTTTATGCTTTGTATTTGAAGGTAGCACATTACATTTAAAACCAAAATAGAGGAGGGTAATCTCTTCCACAGAATCCCTAAAATGTGCCTTAATATAATTTAAATATGCCCCAACTGGAATCAGAAAAACTCAAAATAGAGTGGTTTATGATTCTTAAAAGTTTCTCATCCTATTCAAGTACTTTGAGCGGAAGCATAAAAGTGATTTTATAGAAGATCATTAAGGAAATATTTTAAACCCAGAGAATCAATCACTACTTAACTAAGAAAAACACTAACTGCCAAAAAAAAATTATTTTATTTTGTTTTAATTTTTATTTGGCCTACAATCACCTGTATAATAATAGTATATTGTTTTGTTTTGCTAAAAACTTAATTCACAGTACATTAAGGTAGTCCTGGTCAGCCCTGTTTTGCTTTCCACAGATCAGTTAGAAAAATGAATCTTATTTAGAATTGGATCTTATAAGACAAATACAATGAAGTGATGGGCAAGAGAGTTAAGAATTTCCCTAGAGGATATCGTTCAACGCAGTAAAGAACTCTGAACCTCATGACAAAAAGGAAGTGACATGGAGCTTCCAGAACGGATAACATCCAGAGATAGTCACAAGGCGTTAGTGTAGACACAGAGGCGGGCCAGGAGCTGCTGTTCTGGAGAGGCTAGAACCAGCCCACAGCAAGGTAATTCCCCTCTGGACCTGCCACATTCCAGCCTCCCCACAGGACTTCAACTCTATCAGCCGATCAGTCTCCGCAGACACAGCTTCTTTCCAGTTTTCATTACATATGGACTGTGTAAGTCCATATAGTTTGGGATGAGATTGCAATAACTTTGTGCTTTGTCATAAATTAATAGGAAAATACTGGATTGATCCAAACCTTGGATGCTCTTCGGATGCCTTTGAGGTTTTCTGCAACTTTAGTGCTGGTGGCCAGACATGTTTATCTCCTGTTTCTATGACAAAGGTGTGTACTGAATTTGAGAACATGTTCTTGTGTATTGCAGAGTATTTGTAAACAAGAACATTTTTAATTGCCTTCGTATAACTGCTGATTGTTAAAAGTGAAATTAAAATGTGCCCTTCACCCTTCATTCTCCATCACATATGAGAAATGTTCTCATTATTAAAAACAGTTTTAAAGCTTTATTTTTGTTATACATAGAAATGTTTGCCTACACGTATGTGTGTGAAATATGTACATGCCTGGTCCCCTGAAGAGATCGGAAAAATACATCCCATCCCCTGGAACTGAAGTTATGGATGGTTGTGGCCACCACCTGGGTGCTGGGAATAGAACCCAAGTCCTCTGCAAGAGCACCAATCACCCTTAACCACTGAGCCATATCTCCAGTTCTCATTGTTTAAAAGCATACAAACACACACACACAACCTTTAAGTGCCAAAAATCTTGATAGTTTGTGTGTTTTATGATTGGTTCAGCGTGGTGTATTCCATGGATCTTGATGTTTCAGTTTAGTTAAACCTGTGCAGCACTCTTGTTTTTAAATACACACAGACCTTAGGAAATCTCCAGTCAGCTGGCCTGTTCTGATCAGCAGTCTACGCCTATAAAATATACCTACGGCTTTGCTAAAAATTGTGTCATCATTAAAAGGATTCTTCTACAATAGCCTGCTGGAGCTGGGTAATTAGCATAAAGCAGCCTCCCATAAACATTTGCTGGGCGCTATGCAGAAGTTTCAGGACTAATTCTATAAATGTATTATTTAGGATGAGTGTAGATTAGTTTCACACAACAGTGACATCTGCAAGTATTAAAAAAAAACCCAAAGCTCAGTTCTATTTATAATATCTTGAAATCAATTTTTTTCCTTTATCTGATTGAACCAACTTGGTGCATTTTCTCATTGGCAAAGTGTGGATACATATGCCTACGTGCGTTCCAGGCATCTTCAGAAGACTGACAGGCAGTCTGCAGCTGGTTTCTATGGAGATGCTCTCCTTCACTGATCAGAGCGTCAGTAGACATTCACCACTGTTCTCTGGAGCAGAGGAAGTATCACTGCTCCATCCCTAGGGGAATCCGTGTTCCTCTAGATGAAGAGCAACACAGTAGTTCTCAGTATAAAACATATGTCCACATTCTTGTCCTCAATGCCCTGGAAGTTGTCTGAGAATTTTTTTAAATAATTTCTTTATCATCTTTATTTTATGTGCATTAGTGTGACAGTGTCAGATCCCTTGGAATGTGCATTACAGACAGTTGTAAGCTGCCATGTGGGTGCTGGGAATTGAACCCGGATTCTCTGGAAGAGCAGACAGTACTCTTAACCACTGAGCCATCTTTCCAGCCCCATCTAGGGATTTTTATAGTTTTTTGTTTGTTTGTTTGTTTGTTTTTTGTTGAAAGCAGCTAGAAGAAGGGAACTACTAAACAAGGTAGGAGCAGTGAAGAACAATGTTCTAGTCCCTCCCATGACTGAATCAAGTCCTCCATCTATAGATAATAGAAAGATCAGAGATCGGGAGTGTGTGTGGAAGGGCACCTGGAGGTTGAAAGTGCGGGCCGCCAGGGTTCAACGTTTGCCGGTACACCACCTACTGGCACTTAAATTTCCAACGTCTCAGGCTGCCCTTCCATAAGTTTCCTCACATCAGATGTTCCCAAGTCATCAAGGGTTAAAACGAGACTCTCGCTTCTATGCCACTAGCTGGAGTTTGGAGTCGGCAAAGTGCAGATGAACTTTCTTCATCTGCTGAGCTCAGAAGCCACCCACACCATCACCGTTCACTGCCTGAACACCCCGAGGTGGATAAGCACACAGGCGGGCGCTCCAGGCTTGTCTATCAGCTTCAAAGGATGGAATGGTCAGATTTTTGAAGAAAACACTCTACTTGAACCTCAAGTCCTCTCAAATGACTGCAAGGTAAGAGAATGACACTTTTAGAAATGTGACTTCAAATGGTGAGAGTAGGAATTTTTCTACAAGCTGAAACTACAGAATGGTGCTAAATTTTAAAGTCCCTGGAAAACTGTTTTTGATAAACAATCATACACACACACACATACACACATATGATAGATAGAAATAGTCAATTTTTGTTATGTTAATAGGTTATTCATGGATTTTTGTCTCATTTTCTGAGACAGGGTCTTTCTATGTAGTCCTGGCTCTCCTTGAGCTTGTTAGGAAGCCCAGGATGGCCTTGAACATACAGAGATCCGCCTGCCTCTGCCTCCCAAGTGCCACTATGCCCAGCTTACTCATGGATTTTTTTAATGTGTCTTTTTAGGATTTATTTTATTTTTAAATATTTAAATGTGTTTGAAATACTTTGCCTGCCTGAATGTGTGTGCACCAGATGTGTGCCTGGTGCCTTTTGAAGTCACAGAGAGCACTGAATGACCTGGAATTGGTGTTCCATATGGTTTGAACTACCACGTGGGGCTAAGAACCAAGCCAGCACGCAGTGCAAAAGAAGCAAGTGTTCTTCAGCACTGAGCAGCCTCCCTAGCCCCTTGTTGTATTTTTAATTATGTGTATGTGTGTATATCTTTATGTGTGCTGTGTGTGATACCCATGGAAGCTAAAAGAGGGTGTTGGATGTCCTGGAGCTGGAGTGATAGGCAATTGCGGTCTGTCTGGGGACCTACTCAAGAACAGCATGTGCTCTGAGCTACTGAACCATCGCTCCAACCCCTACTTACAGATTTTAGACAAATATTAATGCATAGACGTTGTCCCTTGGATGAAATCATTATATCTGGATGGATGGATAGATGAATAGATTGGTAGTTTAACTGGTCAACTAACTGATACAGCGTGCACATACTTATTTCATGTTTCTGTGCTCTAGATCTTATTGATACATGGAAGGCAAGTCATAGAATTGTCACTTTATTTGATTTTGCTAATTTTTATACAAACAAATGTGAATACAATTGTGGACTGTCTGGCCCTCTTGATATTTGAGTTTAGCTCACTTTTTTCCTATTGAAATGAAGTAACAGATACTATGACAAATTTAATTGCATATAATTAATATAATTAATTGCATATAATTAATTTTTCATTAATTATTTTAAATAGCTTTGTTTCCTGCCCTGGTGTATAATTAAGCCCATGATTCAACATCTCTTGTGATTTCTTTGAGAGCATTTTTTTATAACATTTCTTTTCATAGGTAAATAGTCAAAAGTGTATTGCTCTTATTCGCTTTATTTGAAGAGTGTAGAATCCCCAACAAATTCATGAAACTCTTAGTCCTTCCCAGAAACTTTCAGTGGCTCATGAGCACCTCTGAGATCCAATCTAAGTATCAGTGAGCTCAACAACAGTCAGGCCCCAGCCTACTTTTCTAGGTTGGGCTTTCACTGGCTGCTACTATTTATATGACCAACCTGCTCTATTTATTACTATAACAACAATTCCTACTACTTATTGGTTTTATATGGTAATTGGCTGTATAGTATATATGTTATTTTATTAACTGTAACACATTTTTTTGAAGAAAAATTAATTCAAGCCAGGCTTAGTAGTGAACACTATAAACTTAGGAGTGAGGATGAGGCAGCAGGAGGATTAGGTGTTCAAGGCCAGCCTCAACTACATAAGACTGTCTTCCAGACAAACAAGTAAGATTAGTCCCATTTCATAGGTGAGAAAGTGAAGGCACAGGAAGTTTAAGGAACTCCCTGGAGGTTATCAGCTAGCTAATCAGTGGAGAAGCAAGCAAGCAACCCCAGTGTGGACCGCTCCAAATCCCAGGCCTCGCAGCCTGTCTTAGACGTTGAACTGGATGCTCCTTTGATCTCCAGCCCTATAAAACAGGTTGAAGTCCCATATTGTATGTGAGAAAAGTATTGGTGCCTGAATTTCCATTGCCGTTTTCCCAGGCAGTGTTCCCAGCCCCATGCCAGGCCAGTTTCACAGCCATCTACCTCACCAGCTGTACTTGGTCCCAGGGTGTTTGTTGCCCTTATCTTTTCATTGTTCCCCGTTTCTCTGAAGTGGCTTTCTTGACTTTCCTCACCATCTGGAGGTTTCTGGCACTCTTTACAACTCAGCTAAATTCTGAATCTCATAAGACATTTCCTGACTTCTCTAGCAATGGAGAATTTAGTATTCATGAAGTCTGCCTGATGTATCTTGCCCTTACAGCACGCTTTCTGTCTGTGTGCTATACCTCGTCCTTAGTGTACACAGTCTGTCTATGCGATGTATTCTGCCCTTACTGAAGGACGTGTGTGTGTGTGTGTGTGTGTGTGTGTGTGTGTGTGTGTGTGTGTG